ACCTGAGCTGGAACTTGGTGTCCCTGGTTCATCGAGTTCCATTTGATTAGAACCCAAGTTGTCACGCTTCCGCTTATTCCCCGCAGATAAACTGCTTGAAGGAGCCTCCTTTCCAGCCCCATTAGGCAAGGCAGAGGCATGTCTTGCTCCAACAGATTCCCTCTCAGACAAAGTCTCCTCACCATCTAAACCCACCACTGATTCAGTAGCATCTGTTGCAGTGGGTTTATCACCGCCACTGGATTCCATTCACGAGCCCACAAATCAAGAGAACAGAATTCTTCAGAATTTCACCTCCCATCATACGTAGAGTCCCGACCCCAGATCAGGGGTGGACTTTGCGTGGAGCATGGGGATTCAGTTGAATCCACGACAAGTTCACAGAAACAGCTTCGATCATCCTCTCATCTGCAATCCTACACCATCAATTCATCCACAATCATCTCAACAGCCCATTTGGTATCGAGACATTAAAAGAAATCGCAGATCTGTGCACGGAAATAATGTTTTACCTTTGGAGCCCTGGAGGCGTCAAGCGTCGGTGGCGGACCAGAGTGGGCGACAAGCCTCCTGGTGCCGGTGGCGTCAGCAGGGGCGACCGGCGGCGAAGCGCTTAGTGTCTCGCAGACGGATCGAGAAAAAAAAGGGGGGCGAGAGAGTCGCCGAGCGGCGAGACGATCCCGCCACGGATCGGCGACAAATTGAGAAGAGAAATCGAATCCGAGGACGGGGGAGCGCCGATCTGTGCGAAAAGCCCCTTGCCTGGGCGATCCAATGCGGCGAATTAGGATTTCGTCGGTGCCACGGGAACCTAGGGTTTGCTCTTCTCGAGTTTTTTCCCTCTTTTCTTCGGGGTTAGATTTTTGTTTTTGCCGATTTAGAGCGGGGAATGGTGGGGTACAGGCGTACAGCTAACTGGCGAGGAGACTGAGGAAGTGAAGGGTGCGGGAGGTGCGGGAAACTGTGCCGTCCGATCTCGATTGGACGGAAGCGATGAGAGGTCACCGCTTCCAGGGTTTGGGCGGGCTTGGAGGCGCGTCAGGCCTTGTTTTCCGCTCCTCAGCTTTAGTCCATGTTACATAGGAAGTTTTACACGTGTATAGAGTATTAAATATAGAATAATTATAAAATTAAATATATAAATTGAGATTAATTTATGAGATAAATTTTTTAAACCTAATTAGTCCATGATTTGACAATGTGGTGTTATAATAAACATGAGCTAATGACGGATTAATTAGGCTTAATAAATTTGTCTCACGAATTACTGAGGACTCGTATAATTTATTTTATTATTACTATCATGTAACACCTCCATGTGACACCCGATATGATATCCTAAACTTTAGTCCCTGGATTTAAACACCCATAAGCCAAGCAAACTTTGCAAAGATTTTGTCAAAAAAAAAAACTTTGCAAAGATTGCCAGATTGTTCTTTTCTTGAATTCAATTTTTATTTTTAATACCAGCAAACGCCTCTCTCTCTGATTGCCTCAATGTTTTAATCTCCGTCTAAAGCATTCAACAGAGAACTTCTCAAACAACTAATAACGAAACTAGATAAGGCGATAATGGCTAAATTGTACATCATACGTAAATTATTTAACCTACCTCAAACAGTTATAGCGGCGTTATATCTAGAATCCTTTATCATTAATGATACTTAGAATCCTTTATAATTTAGGATAAATTTTGAATACTTAATAACTTATATTTTAGGGTGGAAGAAAGAAGTAGAATTAAAGCATAATTTTCTTTATTCTTTCTCACGAAGAAAGTTGCATTCTGAATTGCAGGCACCAATGAAAATGGCGTCCGCCGAAGTCATGGTTGACCGGACAGGCAGGCGACGTCACGAGAGGCGACTGATATGGTTTGTCGTTTGACTGCTTGAGCCTTGCGAACTATCGTTCCACGATCTTTCTAGCCTTCGTGTGTGGGTGTGGCGTGGAATTGGACCTAGATAGTTTTTTTATCTCTCTCGTCTGAATACAGTTGTAGCATGTGTTTATGCACACATGCACGTTCATGCTACCCACATATATCACACTCACACCACACGTGCACAACTAGACATACAATTACACACGTAACAGAATCACTTCCTGAATAGCTATTAAGCTAGCCGATGCCGCGAAGAGCCAAAATCACATAGCAGTCCAAAAGGACACAACACTGTAGCAGCTTGGAATACTTGCCTTTTTTTTATGCCTTTCATCAATTGTAGCAGACGTCCTGTTCGCTTGGCTTATAAACCGTATTTTTTCAGCCAACGAATAATATTTTTCTCTCACAACAAATCAGCCAACGGTACTTTCAACTATGACTTATCAGCCAAGCGAACAGAGCAATACTACACGCGCCCAACAAGATAACTACATAGAGGATTTTTTTTTAATTTTTATACTTTTTGATAACTAATTTTAAATTTAACACGGTAGGGTTTTTTTTTAAACTAACACTTTTGGCTGCGCCTATTGTCCTGGCGCGACCAAATGCCTGTGCCGCGTCATGCGTGGTGGCGCGGCAGCGGGCTGACGTGGCGACGATCGGATTCGGGGACCGTTGACGTGGCGAGTCTGCCGCGCTACCGATCCGTGGGCGTGGTGATAAATAAATAAATATCGCGGCCGATCGCGCTGCCCGAAAGCGAAGGGGCGGATCAAAGAAATGGGGCTCCAAACCCCTAATGGCTTGATTTCACCACTAATCACTGTAGCAAAAGCTTGATTTCACCATTAAATCTTCATGCAAATCAACATCTCCATTGTTTTAGCCCCCTTATCCCGCATCGTGCATCCGCCACTGCGAGCAGCAAGCCCGCCCGCTGCCCGCCTGTTGGTACCTGGACGGTTTAATCGGAACGCGTCGCGCCGATAGTGGAAGTTATTCTAAATATTGCTTGACGTAAAATCAATAGTAGTTTTGTTTCTATCTTTTGTTGAATTTTTTTCACGTCCGAATAGAGAATTTGATAAGCCAATGATTTGTTTTCCGTCTTTCATAATACGGTTAACCACCATTTTAACTAATCGATTACGAAAAATTACCACCGGCGTCGAGATACGCCGGAACTGCCGGTTCCCGAACTAGTTGGTACTTAATCTCGTCGGAAGTGCTGCCGCGACGCAAAGAAACGAATATGAAGCAAATAAATAAAGTCCGTGCGTAAATTGACAAGCTGCCACATAATATTTTCATTGTTTTGACATAAGTTTGACATAACATAACCAAATAACCCGGCAAGTTTCGGACGTCAATATTCGCTTGACCTAACAAACTAAGACCCAGGAGTGTAAGGATCCCTCAGACGCCTCTGTCTCTTCGGATTTGTTGGCAACACATTGGGAGTGTAGCCAACGTTGGTATGGTCGCGTCGGCGGTGCGTACGGCTCGTACCCTGTAAGTATATGATACGCACGATTACTTATAATTCTTTATGATCGTTAGTTCATGGAGCATACGCATTTAAATAAACTACATTTATTAGTACCTGTGAGGCTCCTTGGGTACCAAGCGGGGCACCATCTAGCTGAAACATGCCGATCTCGTCCTGCGGCCAATCGTCCCACTGGTTGTGCTGTCTGCGGAAGCCCGAGGGGTCGTCATCGTCGTCATCGTCGTCCTCGGTTGCAGGGTCCTTCCCAGCACTATGATGTGGTGGTGTACGCATCGCGAAAGTGACACCTGTCATCGGCTGAGAAGAGCCGGCTGGTGTCCTCAAAGAGGCTGAAGACGTGCCATCCGACCGCGCCGGGAGTGGCGGTTCCTCATAAGGAGTGTCCATGCAGCTCAGCTTCTGAGCTAGCTTCCCGCAGCTCTTCTTCACATTCTGCATAAATAGACGTTAAAGTTAGTGCATTACCCAAACGCATATGCCGCGTCAAGGTCGGTGGCGCGGCAGTACCTGCCACATCAACGGTCCCCGAATCCGGTCGTCGCCACGTCAGCCCGCTGCCGCGCCACCATGCATGACGTGGCACAGGCATTTGGCCGCGCCAGGGCAATAGGCGCGGCCAAAAGTGTTAGTTTTTTTAAAAAAACCGACCGTGTTAGATTTAAAATTAGTTATAAAAAGTGTTAAAATTAAAAAAAAATTCACACAGAGTAGAACCGCTTTTTTGAGAGAGAGAGAGATAGATAGCTAGCAAGCTACCTGCAGGCTGCAGCATGCAGGCCGCAAAGACGGCCGAAATCACGTAGCAGCCCAAAAAGGACGCGGTAGTGTAGGCCTGTAGCAGCCCAAAATTCCAAAATGATGCAATACTGTAGCAGCCCGGGATTCCAGTTCCAGTGATGGTTCGCTGCCTCTCCTTGGCTCCTTCCTTCAGCCGTCGGCGTTGTTTCTCTCAAAGCATTGCAAAGGTATTGCATTATAGTAGGGGTGAGAATTGCTAGAAATTTAAGGTATAGCAAGCGACATACCTTGCATACTAAGAGAAACAATGATTTATCCTACCTCAGCTAGTGCACATGAGACTCCTATGGTGGCCTACGATGAAATCAAACATTAGCCCATCAATTATCAACACTAGTGCTGCCATTAGGTTTTTAACTAAACGAAGCAACTCGATCGCCACTTTGTACGTACCACTGCAAACGATGACAACTTGACAAGGTATCGGAGGAAAGATTTCAAATGCATCATCTCACACCACACCGTATAGTGAACTCAGAGGCCAACATCAGATCAGCACCGTCGACACTCGGACAGTAGCTTCATTGGGACTAGCCAGGACAGCTCCTTTTGGACAGGTTTCAGGACCCAATACGGACTCTTGCAAGTTACAAACCACATTCCAAAGATAATTTGAAAAGTACAAGATGGGCGCATATCAGGGCACAATATATTATAACAGCATTCAAGTTTTTGTGTCATAACCAGTAAACAGAATAACAATATTTCTCCCATAGATTCAAAGCGGACAAATACAATCGAATACGCAACAGGCCTCCTTGCTTGAGCTTTCAAAACTGTGGTCACCTGAAAGATGTGGACCTAAGCTTTTTTCTTCGATGACTTCTTGTGGGGTTTCTTCTGGGGCTTAAGCTTATCAGATTTCGATGACATATCTTTCTCTTTCCTTCTCTGCTTTTCCTTTTTCACCTTGTACATTGTAATTGCCTGCTTAGAAAATTGTTCACAGATGCTGTTAGCTCGCCCAAACAAAACATGGAGCAGTGCCACCAATGGTGGGCAAAACACAACTTTATGTAAGCGTCTGGATCCTGAAACTTGCCTTGCCAACATCAAGCGGTTCATCAGAATTTCTGGCAAGTAGAGAGTTCAGGATTTTGTCATTCTGCTGTTTCTCCAGGCTGCCCATTCCCTTCCCCTCGGCAACTGGGAGGAACTGTAGAAACAGCATCATTCAGCCAGTGAACAAAATCAGCCTACAAAGGTAAAGACCCAGAAATCAAAGTCATTCAGATAAAAAAACCTTTCTATGTTTGCCAGGGTGCTTTGGAGGTTTCTCGCCAGGCAACTTCTCGTCGAACTTCCCACCGCTTGCTGTTGCTGATGAAGCCATGCCAACAACACTCTCAAGATCCTCTTTTCTAGGCTTTTTTGGAAGGTCAGCTTTAGTTCCTGTGATGGGCAAGGCCTTTGCAGCAAGCTGTATATGACTGCATACAAAAGATATTGGATAGCTGTAATTCTAGAAGGTTCCTTCCTAATACAAAAGGACATTCATAAGAGAAAGGAGGGGAAGCAGCAGTTACTAGTGAAGGATAACAACCTTGGCAAAGTGCCAATCTTTGCAGCTTTCTTTAAGTTCTCTAGTCTGTTTTTTTCTTGCTTTTCAACCCTCTTCTTCTTCTCATCCCTTCTTTGCGCAAAGGGATCAACACCAGGCTCTGCAATAAATGAATCGTTGATTAAAAGGGTATCAGGTTGGCAAACCAGGTTGAGGACACATGAGAATCATTGATAAGAAATAACAAGAAAATATTTGTCAGTTCCAGGAGTTAAACTACTTATCTAAAATAAATGAGGTTAAGCATTGCCAATTAAGAAATGGTGAACAGAGTCAACATGCACAAGGAGATGCATATGACAATTACAACATGCTACTGGATGGGGAGGAGAGGCAACAGCCTTGTTGCACAGCAGGTTCGTTGGCAAAAGCTCAAGAAGACAAGTTACTAACCGTCAGTCAATTTGGCTTCAACGATCGGAATGTCTTTGTCATCATTAACACGGTCATAGCCATAAGTCCGCTTCCAGGATTGAGTTTGTTCGTCCCACTCGCGCTTGTTCTTCTTGCGATTGGTAATTCCTGTGTTATGATCACCCAAACAATGATGAAAAATTGAGTAAATTTCCAATTCACACACAAGAGTCACAAAAGGAAGACATCGTGGGCAACAGGATCACCTTTCGCCTTTGCAAAAAGCTCCCACTTGGTCGGTGGCTTGGGCTTGGGTAGCTGGAAAGAACATAAACCAGGTTGTTAAACATACAAAACACCTCACCTCACATCACATAATCTTCAATGTCGAGAAAACAGTTTCGGCTCACAGTCATGTCAGAAGCACAACGTTCATTCCCATCGTCAAAAGTGGAATAAAAATAAGATGCCTTAGTGAATCGAGCACATGTTTTGCAGCAAACGAGGTTCTAATTTGGGCACGAGATTTATAGCAGCAGCCAAAACAGCAGCCCATCCCATGTGACTGACTACTTGTACAGCGCATCTTCAGAGGATGCTTCTAGTGTAGCGTATCACCACCATATAGGCAAAAAGAACTAGCAGCAAATTAAGAGAGAGGTTCTCACATGCTTCTCGCGCGGGAGTCGGACGGTGGGCGGCGGGAGGTGGACGATGGGGCCGTCGCGGTCCACGCTGGGAGGCAGCGCGAAGAGGGCGTCGGCCACCGCCTGCGCCAGCTCCGTCCCCTTCCGTAGACACTCCTGCCTCACCTCCTCCCTGAGTTTTTCCGCCCCAACAACCCCACCGCATTCTGTCAAGAAAAAACACCGTAGCAGAAAAGGAAGGCACGAGACACACTACCTGGAGGGGGCGGCGGCGGCGGCGGCGGCGACGTGGTGCGACGGGTCGTACGCCATGAGGTTGCCGAGGTCGACCTCGCAGCTTGAAGCGGCGGCGACGACGGCGGGCACCTCCGCCATGGCTGCGCCGGTATGAGGCTCGTGGCTGGCTGGGGAAGGGAAAGAAATCGAGGCTGCGACTGGAGAAGGGAATTAGGGTTTTACTTGGGGCTGGCTGGCCGCTGGCCCAAGTGACATGTGAAGCGTGTCTCAACTGGTGGGCTAGGCCTGCCCCACAGATTTGGAAAGACCAGCTACGTACGGCCCAACCAACTCATATCATCCAGGCCCGTTTGGTTGAAGACCTGGGTGAGTTACCTGCAAAAACTGCTGTCTGAAAGTTGCCAGTAAAATTCATGATTTTTGACTAGGCAGATAAGTTTTTTTTAGATTACCTAGGCAGACAAGTTTAAGAAAATGTGTTTGGTTGAATGCATGTGGGTGAGAATACTAACCAAAGTAAAGTGATTTTGTATTACCTATATATTAATTACGTGTGCCTGGAAACTAATTGTTAGGAATAGAGATTTTGATGAAAAAATACCCTTCAACAACTTCTTTATTTGATTATCCAAATATAGCTATATTCTATTTCAAATTTCTCGTTAGCTAAAGATAGAAAGAAAATGGCTCTCTAGAGTGCACACAAGCTATAAAAAATTGTTGGAGATCGAAAAGATATAGAAAGGGATTTTATATAAATGACTCTTCAAATGATGATTTAGAAAGACTTTTGGAGATGATCTAAATCATATTATCATTTCCATAGGAAGACATGAACTGTTGTATCAACACTACCATTTTAAAATCCTTTACACAGAAACAACATGGCATGGAAGATATATGAAACAATTGGAACACACCGTTCCACTCAAAACGCCATATGTAAGTGTACATGTAACTATGTAAGCACATCAGCTATGTTTACTATATGAAAACACGAGAGTGAGGGGAAACTGTATGCTATTATATCTTCAAACACCAGAGTGGCAGAGTTAGATGCAACACTTACTGGAAAGAAATTTTTGCTTCTGTATCGTAGACTAATTAAAGGTATGCTATACATCCTTTTCAAACATTGCAATATATAACATGTTAGAGACTCAGATGTAAGCGGTGAAGGAAACTACCGGTTAAACATACTAGTAGACAAAAAGGTTGATTCAAAGAGAAGCTCATGCACAACAAATCTAGGCATGATACACGGCCATGTCATCATATGACAGAGATGTAAACCGGCAACAATCAGGTAAGACTTAGATAAATGTACTGATCGTGGTCAACAGAAATATAGTAGGCAGACCAGAACACATATAATGTCTTCATGTTGGGAGGATTGGACCTCCCTGACGAGACCACTTGAAGCACCCACACAGATGCTTTGTGCCATTCCGCGCCCTCATGTAAACACCATAGGTAGCTGGGTCTCCCTTGATCCAAACTGACACTGAGAACAAGACAGACACTAGACCAAGCATAATCCCAGCAATATATCCATGACTCCCCATGAGAACCGACACCGGTACAGAGACGGCCTTTACTCCCGGTGGAGAACCCCTTTAGTCTCGGTTCCCCACCCGGAAGCAAGCATCCGGGACTAAAGGGGGGACCTTTAGTCCCGGTGGGTAACACCAACCGGGACTAAAGGTGCCTCCTGACATGCCACGAGACCGGCACCCTTTAGTCCCGGTTGTTAATATGAACCGGGACTAAAGTTTTTTTTTTCTTTTCATTTTTTTGTTTTCTTTTCAAAATAGGTTTTCGAAGTCGTATTGTACGTTGCTAATAATACATTTATACGCGTGTATAGTATGTTTCGGTTCAAGCACAATGAACATATTAAATGACACAATTCAAACATAGAAATATATATATATATATATATTTACATGCATATGTGTATTTTACATTATATTATTTCATGTGCATATATTACAAAAGATTACATTATATTACAGTTGTTGTGATATAACAAGTTTCCTTTATCCTCTAGCTTGGCTTCTATGGCAGTGTTGGGTCGAAGTAGAACTTGCCTTTGGAATCGATGACCTGGTCATTAAAAAATCCGGCTATAGACTCTTGAATTGCTTTGATTTGGTCTTGCCATATGACCTTTTCCTCCAACCATCGAGCCTACAGGTTTGAATTAAAGGAAAATAAATTAATATATGTACATACATACATATATATATATAAAGACATAGTAGCACAATAAATAATAATAATTAAATGAATATATAGTATATTTTTAACATACTTTGAGTCTCTCTGCAGGAGTTCTTTGGGAGACCTCCTTGATAAACTTGCAAACATAGTAATCACAGTAGTTGTTCTCCTGTTCCTGCCTCAGACACCACTTTACGAGAAAAAGATTTATCATCTAATCTGGTGATCCGGTGACAGCTATATATTTAATTAATAAAGATGATGCGATTTAGGGGACTTACTTTTAAATGGATTACATTCAGTGGCGCTTTGCATTTCCCCATGTGTTGCTTCTCAATAAAGGTTTTCCAAACACTGCCCAATAAAAAATTTGCCACGTCATCAGATATAGTTAATCATCATGTTTGTGTGTATATATAGTTGCTAGAGATACCGAAATTACCTCTGGATAATATCTATCATATCTTGATAGTCTTGTTGTGGTTTTCTCATCGAGTCATAGATTATCAAGTGACTTTTCACCAGATCGATGTCCATCAATATCCAGTGATTGTTGCATGTGTTTATAGGATATAACGCATAACACTCATTAATTAACTAGAATCAACATATGAGCCATTAAGGATGATCGACATTATTAACACTCATTTGAAGTTGTAGGGAAAGAGTATATCCTTCTTGTAGCGTTGGTTCACTAAGAAGTTCATGAGGTTACTCTCTGACTCAGACTTCTAATTAGGCTTTGGAGTAACTAGGTCTTTGAATACTATATGGGGATCAACAAAACTAATTTCATTGTAGCCTTCCTTTCTGCGCTCTGTCATTGTAAATCTGCATATATATAGTACTTGTTCGGATAATTTATATGCATATACACACATATGATGAGTTTAATAATAGATCGAAAGAATTATTACTTACAGGCAATAGCAGCTAATGATAACTTTGTCCAGAGAGGTCAGGTGACATAGTTGATGAAATTATGCAAAGTCAACATACATAACATCATCGCCACGGAACCAATGTTCGTCTCTAATTCTGACACCAACGCAGAAGTCTCCACCGGTAGACGCCTGCATGTACCACTTGTTTAGCAGGTACATTTGCATCCCCAGATCACCTAAGGCTTGAGGGTTGTATAGACTCTGGCCTAGTACAAATTTTTTCTTCCAAATATCAACCTCCGCCGCACTCTCAATGTTTCATCACCAAACATCTGGTAAAGGTCGAGACCAGTCTCTTCAATAAATTCACCAAGGTGATCTAAATCGACATCCGGAGGTATGTTTGCCTGATGCATTAATCCTAAATTCGAACCATATTCATTACCAACAACTAGCGGGGGGACTGATTGGTGCGATTGTTGTCCGAGTTGTGCAACTCCTTTCCCTGCCCGCTTCTTTTTCTGTGCCGCCTCAATTGACTTGGTGAGAGTGCGGTCATAGTCTGTTAACGTTGCTTTGGACGGCTTACGAGATTCCTGATGTTGTTGCTGGTAAGAAGCCACCTTTTTTCTTAGAATATCTGGAGCTACGAAGAAGTACGGTTTCTCCGGGTTTCTCCTTGCTTCTTGATCCTTTTTAAGTTTGTCATAGAATCTGGACATATCTTTTTTATATGCATCAGTTACTTCTTCCTTCTCTTCAGATATTATTTTGGGAATAGCCCTTGGTTTCACGGTGGCTTTCTTTGCCGGCGGGGACTGGTTCTTCGTTTGCGGGGCTGGCCTCTTGCTAGTACTTGACTTCTTGGTAGGCGGGGGCGGGGGAGGCGTTGGAGACCTCCTTGGAGGTGGCGACTATGGCGTTGGAGACCTTCTTGGAGATGGTGTGGATGCAGCCTCGCCTTCCAACACATTGTCATCGTACAGAGCACTATGATGATCTGGCGATTGAACAATTGGATTTAGGTTGGGGGAGGATCTGCTACAAAAAGGAATGACATATTATTATGAGCAGATTGTTAATTATTTAAGCCAATATAAATTAATGATGTAGTGTTTTCATCCGCACCTATGGTGAGGTAGTTCAGGAGGAGGTGGAGGCGACATCCCGGGAATGATGATGTAGCGCTTGCACCATAGAATGAATGGCTTCTCTGCTTCTCCTAGAGTCTTCTCGCCATCACCTCCAGGAATGGCAAGAGGCAAATCACTAAAACCCTTTTTAGCTTTATCTACCGAGATGGTAGCATATCCTTCTTGGATTATATTCCCATGAATCCTTGGTGTCTTGGTTCGGTCGATAGGATTAACAAGACCGATAGTCACCTTGATTGTGGAATTTCCCTTCGGAATGTGTAGCTCACACGATGTACAAGGTTCAGTGATGTCATCCACAAGGAAGCGCAGTCCTGTGTCCCCTTGATTTGGTATCTCCGTGGAAGCGCAGCTGCTTTTCAACTGAGCAGATTGGCTAATGTTGATTCTTGGCTCTGATGCCTGCTTGCTTGCACTCACTGCTATTTGTACTTGCCTTCTGATTTCCTCCTGCATTCTCGCTTCATGGTTTTTTTCCCGCTCCTGTGCTTCATGCACCGCTTCCTCCAACCTCTGGAGCCGCTGTGACTCTTCTTCCTTCTTTCTCTGGCGACTTCTGTAGGAAGGTCTGTCCTGAGGGAATCCATGCTCCCACGAGACACCCTTTGCCTCTAGTTCGGCCACCATGTTCAATAGTCCCGATGGCGTATGTCAGTTCATCCTTCTCTCTGTTGGGCCTGAACGCACCACTAGCAGTAGCTCTCTGAGCATAAAATAATCTTTCTGCTGCTTCTTGCAGTCTTGCGCCATAAACGCACTTCCCTGTCTCTTGGTCCAGTGTTCCCACATGAGCGAAAACCAATTCTTTGCACGCTCTCCTCACTCAAGTGATGCTGGTGTGATACCCTTAGCAAGAAGGTCTGCTTCCATTTTGTTC